ACTGAACGCAATGCGTGGCAACTCGCTGCTCTTCATCTTGGAAGAGAATTTGTCTCGCTCATTATTCAGCTTCATCAGCCACCTATCACTCCTGGCTCCAGAAGATGGCCCTACTTGGACATGTGTGGAATGCGTGCAGCTCATCACTTTTCAGCTGGCAAAGTTGCCATTTTCAAAGGGAAGAGAGGAACTATGACACCATGAGGACCACCTATGTGAACAAGGCCAGGAGTATCCACTGGGTTAGAGACCTGCGGCCACTGTGCTTTAACCAATTGGAGCCAAAAGAGGAAGAAGTCTAACTCACTACCCTCGCATGAGATTGTGTGGAATAACCTGCTCCTCAGGAGGTGGCTGTCTGCCCTGGCCACCTGTGAGAATCACCCAAGGAGCTTTTCACAAAAGAAATGTGGATCCCCGCTTTTGTCAGCCTGCGCTGGGCAGTGCTGAACCTTGGAACTGTAAAGTTCTGTAAGTGCTTCTAATATGTCATCTAGGTTTGAGAGTTTCTAAAGTATGTTACAGCTAACCAGCAGGTATAAAATTATTTATTTGACACATTCCAAATTTCTTGCTCCAAATTCCAGCTGTGATGCTTAGATCTATTAATAACACGTGATTATTTGCTTTATTTTGTCACACTTGATTTTCCATTTGAAGAAAATTCCTTGGAAATGATGGAATGTTCTCTTTTTCTCTTTTATTGTTGTTTTATTTTTTATTTTATTTATGCCTCTTATGAGGGCAACATACATAGTTTTAAAGTTTGAGAGAATTCAGCACTTGACTCAAGTGACGGGACAGTGATATTTCTGATGATGAAAATTAAACTCTGTCTTTATGCTGGCTGCTGAGTTTTGCTGACGTCAGGGCAGGGGAGAGCACCATCAGGGCAGGGGAGAGCACCGTCTGGTATCTGGCTGGAGGTGGCCGCTGCTCAGAGCGGAGTGGGCTTTGGGCTGGGAAGTGGGTGGGAGAAGGCAGGGTGAGTGGTATTACTGGCTTGGGGAATCATGGTCGATTTTTTTTTTTTTTTTTTTTTTTTTGTCGGTACCGGGGATCGAACTCACAACCGCGCACTTGCAAGGCAGGCACTTATGCTGCTGAGCTAAATTTGAAACAGCTGTAATGAGTGGCAAGCTCTGGGTGCACCAGCCAGCGGAGCAAGCTTCAGACTGCTGGTGTTGTTCATCGCCAAAAAGTGCAACCGCTCAGCCCGTAAAAGGATAGGGAACACATTTAGGTGCATGGTACTAACAGAAGGAGACCAATCTGGAAGGGATACATACTCTCTGAGTCCTATCACATGACATTCTGGAAAAAGCATGTTTTCAACCTGAATTTATACACACCATTGACAAGTTTAAACATCATTTCTTATGAAAATGATATGTATGTTTTTATCAGAGAAGTACTACAAAGAAAAGATAAATTCTTCTTCACCTGAATTCTACCGCTTCAGAGACAGACGGCCTCTGCCGACAGTTTGCTGTCTGATTTTCAGTTGTTCGTCTGGGTGCCCACATACAGTATCTACATGCATTTTCCTCCAAAAAATGCTGGATATTCTTTTTCACATATGTGTTTTTCTACTTACTAAAATTGGATGAACACCGTCCTATTACTAAAGATTCTTACTCAATATTTTGTTCACACAATAAGCTTTTGTATGGATTTTTTTTTACAATTATCTTATTGTTCAAAAATTATGTTTTTCCACTTGCCCTTTTTGCTTCTTTAGTGGATGTCTTTATGAGTAAGGTTAAGAAATAGAATAGCTGAGTCCAAAGCTAAGGGATTTTTAGAGGCTCCTTCTCATTGGGTCTGAATTACAAACTGGAATCATACCAGTATTCTGTTGGTCTAGATATTCTCTTTCACACAACTCATCTTTGCTGATTTAACAAGCCCCAAATGGTTTTATACTTTATGGACTTTTCTTTGATCATATGAGAGTGAATATTTGTTCAAGTGTTCATTGGCTGTCAACATTTATTCTTTTGAAAATGTCCTTCACGTAGTTGTCTATTGAGGTTCCTCTTTTCCACATAGATGTACAAAACCATTTTAAAGATAAAGTCAGTTAGCCCTACCATATATAGTATATTTCTCCTCTCCATTTTGGCTCTGTTTATAGTGGGTTTTGGAAACCACTTTGTACCTTTGCATTTTCTGCATTTTTAATTTAATTTACAAGACAATGACATGGGATTAGAGTTGCTTGCCTTAAATAGTTATTAAAAGCAGAGTTGGACCCCTTAAAGCGCCCTCCAAAGCATGCTGTGATCATCCAATGGAAACATCTGTGTAATTGTAGCACCATTAATTGTATCTATGGCTACCTCAAAGAACTATAAAGAACAGTTAATTTTATTTGATATCAGGCCCTTATGAATTTTGGCAAATGTTCAACTTGTAGGCAAGACTGTCTAAGCCCACTCACAATTTACTATGCAGTTGGCTACAAATTATTGAGGTGTTTTTTAATCCATCTAAAAGGATTCTTTCTTGAACACTAAATTACAACTTATCTCACAGACTGGAGAGCATCTAATAGTTCTGTCTCTAGGTAATGTGATCCAGCTGGAGATTCCAGGTATGCAAAGCCCATGTTTTAGAACAAAGGGGTATTTTTCTCTAGCCAGTAAATAAAAGTGATTTTTTTTCAGCTATAAAAGGACAAAAGGTTTTGAAATGATCCCACTGGGCAGGGTTTCCTAGACTTGTTTTTCTGGCAGTTGGCCATAGAGCTAAGCCTGAGTCTTCCAAACTTCTTCCATTTTTGTAGCAGTGTGAAGAATTCACTGGCTGAGACCAGAGTCTCTTTATGGTGTGATGAATACCCGGGGTCCTCTTAACCCCGAGGCAGCCACAGCTGGACATCTACCAATGTCATCGGCGAGCATTGGTCAGTGTGTAATAAGCACTGAACATACTGTCCTTTTTCCTGCTCGATTTAGGTACTTATACCGCTCTCTCAGGGTTGTATGTTTTCCTCTTTGAAGAAATATACTTAATGCAATAAATATAACAAGAATGGTAAATGGTCCCTAACTTTAGTGAGACGTAATCAAAGATGTTGAGCTAATGTATTATTACATTCCATTTGAAGTTTTAACACCTCTATAACATGAGTTGCCTTCGTTAATTTTCTGTGTGTGCTTCACAATCCTGCAAACAAGAAAGCTGTGGTCCTTTTCATCACACTTTTATAAGAACAAATGGTCCCCTTCTCGGTCTAAGTTTATTGCTAGAGTCAGATAAAAATTTACATAAATGGCTGGAAATAATTCACCTCAAACTATGTACCAAGAAATCAGTACTGTTTAGGTGTTTTGTATGAATTACAAATAGCAAGATTAACCGCAACAACCATGTGTGATATCCCAGCTACTGTTCCTAATAACTAGGGATATTTAGTTCTTGAAAATAACCCCATAGGGCAGGGGATATTATTATCCCTATATTCCAGATAACTACAGAAAACAAACATAAGTAGCTGAGCCAGGATTTGAACAAGAGAAATCTGACTACACGCTTTGCCCTTTTACTTATTAGGTTGATACCACAGCATCACAAGATAGGGGGTGGTGTTATCATTTTATAGATGAGAAGCTGAGGGTCAGAGGAGTTAATAACTTTTCAGTAACTTCTCCCACACCTTGAGAGTAGCAGCAATGAACTGAAATCTTAATTCCAAAGTCTTTTCCATGCTTTTCTCGTACTATGACATGTTTCCTTGAATTTAGGGTTTTTGTCCTCCTCAGAGAAAGCTTATAACAGGACATGAGACAGACGCTGAAGTGAAGGGCCTAGTGGAACACATCCTCTGGATTCTATTTGCACAGGGAGGTACTCATTTACACTGTATTTTGTGCAAATGACACAATAAGAACTGGCTCTCTTCTATACACATAGCTGTAGGACTTGGCTTTCCAATTTATTCCTACCTCTGGGACTTCACATTTGCTGTCCCTCAGCTTGGAATACTTTGTCCCCAGGCTGTGCCATGCCTGAATCCTTCTCAGGAATCAGTTCAAATCTCCTTGGCGGTCCTGGCCTTAAAATTCTGTGTTCATCTTCTCGGGCTTGTCCAATGAAGCACCACAAAATGAGTGGATTAAAACAACAGAAACTTATTCTTTCATAGTGCTGGAAGCCAGGAGTCCAAATCCGAGGTGTTGATGGGGCCAGACTTCCTCAGAATGCTCCAAGGGAGCTCCTTCCTTGCCTCTTCCATTTCCAGAGGCTCCACGAGGTTCTTGGCTTGTGGCCGTGTAACTCCTGAGTCACTTTCTGTCTGCGGAGCTTGTGCCTCTGTGTTTCTCTTCTTCTGTGTCTTCTCTCCATTTTATAAGAACACTTAGTCATTGAATAGAGAGTGCACCTGCGTGATCCATGGTGCTTTCATTTCCCCAAATAAACTCCAGGAGGTGAAGTCTTGTCAGGGCCACTGCCAGCCTCAGGTAAGGCAGTCCATTGCTGTTACACTCTGCGATGTTCGCTTCCACTTTATTACTTCAAAGCCCTTGTCCTTGTTTTATGCATCTTGTTCTTTTCGTGTCTATTTTTCTTTTGCCCATCTCTGTCTTCTCAAGTTTAGACTTTATAAATAAAAGGCTGCCATGTTCACAGCTCTCTTCACAGGCTTTATAATCATGTTTAATGTATTGTAAGGATTACCAAATATCTACTGAATAATTGAATGAATTAATGATGTAGTTACGTTAATGAGCTATCAACTTGGCTCTTTCACTTTTTCAACAATTTCCAGGATTTTGTTAGTTTCACTGTTTTATTTTATTTTTTTTATTGTTTTATGGTTTTTGAGTTTTAGTTGAATATTTTTGAAAAGCAAATGCATTATGGGACCCAGATGGTAAATATATCCAACCATTTCATTGTTACACTCAATTCCTAACTAGTCTTGGTAGTTCCTGTTGGTTTTGCTCTCCCACCCCCAGGAATGAATCCTCAGTGAATATTTCTTTCTCTCTTAGGCTCTGATCATCTACGTGAGAAAGACGGCCTCTGGGCTGTCTTAGTCTGGCTTTCCATTATTGCTGCCCGGAAACAGGGTGTGGAGGAAATTGTTCGAGATCACTGGGCCAAATACGGCCGCCACTACTATTGCAGGTGAGAAGGGAAGGTCTCTGAAGGTGCCCTGGGAACTACTCTTAGGTTCTCTTTAAAACGGATGGGCTAGAACTTTAGGGAGGAAGCATCTTTCAGAAATATCTGAAAGATACAGAGGCTGGAACTGGATTACTCCAAAATTGGAAGGGGGTGGTATCAAAATGCAAGGCACAAATTTCTCCTCCCCTGGTGATATCTCACTGTAATCTTTGAAGCGTTATCTAGATGATAGGCTACATCCCAAGAGCATAGATTAATGGCAGAGCTTTCAAAACTCTTTTGGTACCTGTGGGGATTGGAAAAATCACACTGTCAAATTGGAAGCATTTCCTGTTGGTTGTCATATTTATCAAGGAAGGGGGACACAGACAACAACTGTGCCAGCTAGGTGGGGTGCTTCTGTAAGCCTCTTTCTATCTTTGATTTATCTTCTGACCAATAGTTAAAACACTGTCCAAGATGTCTAAGCTGGTATTCTATGAAGGAACCACGTGGTTTAGAAGCCCCAGATTTTGCTAGAGGTTTAATCTCATAATGCGACTCAGAAAAGGGAAGTAGTACACAGGAAGGAGGAAGATAAAAGGCCAGTGTGTAGAAGTTGAAGGTACATAGTGTCTATCCTTTTCCTGCTGATGAATTGACAGAGTATTCTAGAGGGCACGGTTACTCGCTAGGTATGTGAACCTAGTCATGTAGGTGTATGTTACTAGTGTCCAGCCATAAATTAGAGAAGAGGGTGATAGGAAAGGATGGAAATTGGAGAGAAAGTGGTGCGGGAATATTGGATGTCTCAGAGATTCTGTGTACTGAAAACAGATATTGTGGCTCATTGTGCTGTGAGTGTGGATATGTGATTAACTACCCTTGATGTTTGATTGAATTTCAAAAGCTTGGGGGACAGAAAAAGAGCTTTAAATTCTTCCCTTTATAACATGTTTGTTTGTCCTTTTAAGAAGCTATCTCTTTAGACAAATATCAGAGAATAAGATTTAATTTTATTAAACTTGAGATTGGAATATTCTGGAAAGTGTAGACAACACTGTAACGTTCTTAATTCCTGTTTAGTTAAGAAGGCTGGAAATGTATAGCCTGTAAACCACCTCAGATTATTCATTGCATCAGCAAATCAAGATTCTCAGGGTAGACAAGAACTTGTCCATCTCATAAGCATTTTTAATTAAGTGCCCAACTGCCCTGATTTTTATGGGTGTGTGTGTGTGTGTGTGTGTGTGTGTGTTGTTTTGGTTTTGGTATGCCAAGGAATCACCAACACATGAAATCCTTCTATTCCATGAAAAACTCTTTCAATAAGTTCAGTCTGATAAAACATATCATTATTGCCAGCCTCTGGCTTAATGTGATTGCTTTGAGTCAGAGATGTAGTTTTATAATTTATGAATGATTATCTAAGTTTCTCCCAGTGTTTTATACAAATGGTGCCATAAGTGTATTTATAATATAGTTCATTTTTTGTGGCAGAGATTTATGTGGCAAGAATTACATTTTTCATAAAAAGTACCATGTTAGAGAATAATATGCCACGGAGACTTGATTTCTTGTAGGACATTAAATTATGTTTCAGATTTCTTTCCAAAAAGATCACAGAGAAAAAGAGAAAGGTAGAAATGCGTAGAAGGAAAGATAAATTTTTCCTTTGATATGAGCAAACGGCACGTTGAAATGTTTGTGAAATACAGTGACTGTTTGCCTGGCAGTTTTCTTGGGAGAGAAGAAAGAAAGCAATACTCAGTCTCAAGTTCTACCTGAGAAAACTGTCCCGGTCACTTTGCTGTATTTGAGTTGACCCCAGAGGAGTTCTCCATTTAAAGTAAGTGGTGGTGGTAGTGGCCGTGTGGCCAGAGGAAGCATTTGGGGTGCGAAAGGGGGAGGCGAGTCTAAGACCTGCTTGAGTATGAAGATAAACATTTGGGCAGGCTGCTGCTCTACATATGCTGTACCCTATCAGTGGATTTTTCCCAACTTCTGGATCTTTTTCAATGCCTTGGTATCTCCTATTAGAATCTCCTATCCTACCCTTCTGTCCCTTTCTTTTGGGCTGTCTTTACCTTCCCCAAAGGACTGTCATTAAAGAGGATCAAGTCTCAGAACAGACACAGTGAGAACATTCTTAGGAGTTCCTTGTTGGTTTGTTTCTGAGGCTTGCGAAGAAACAGCTTGCATAGGAGGAGAAGAGAATCAGAAGGACACAGATGCAGGGATTCATCGCTAGACGTGGTATAATTCCACGTCTTCCACCCTGGCCAACAGCTTCAGGTTTCCTGAATGTCTTAAAAGGTCTCCAGTGGGGGGAAACACTAACAACTGCTCAGAGCTTCCCTTCACTCTGAGAACTTACATCCTTTCTGTGTGTTATAAGAAGCCCAAATGTGAGATCCATCCACAGCCACTTAGGCACAGCTGCTCCCCCCCTCAGGCTTCCCCTTAAACAGGCCCTCCTGGGTGTGCCTGGAAGGCCTGTGTCAAGGCTGTCTGGTGTTGGGAGAGAAAGTCCAGTTTCTTTATGATGGTGACCGAGAATAAAATTTACTGTTGTTAAGCTCTGGTGCCTGGCGCTGTGCTCACTGCTTGGTGTCTGTTATCACAGTTTAAGCTTTAAAACAATAAATAAGATAGGCATTATTTTTATTTTTGCTTTAGTCATCTCCCAGCTCCACTGTTGTATTTGTTGCTCTTGGAAAGAAATTTTTTAAAATGGAACAATAGTGACAGTTCTTCCAAGTTTCCAAGAGAGTTTTATAGCACATTCAGCTCAGCTTCTCCTCTTTGCCTCTCATGATACCTGTCTCCTGCCTTCCGTTCTTTTCCTTCCCCTCATTTCCTATCCAGACTATTTGCATAACAAATAGTCTTTGCCCTCCTTGAGCTCATATTCTGCTGGGCAAAGCCAGGCAATGAAAAAGTAACCATTTACACAAAAAAGATAAATATAGACTGGAATAACTGTTATAAAAATGTAAAGGGTGACGAGAGACTCTGTGTGTGTGTGTGTGTGTGTGTGTGTGTGTGTGTCCTGCCTTGATGGATGGATGGTCAGGGAAGGTCACTTTCTGGAAGGGCCAGGAGGTTTGAAGATCTAAGGATGAGTTAGCTCTTTGAATGTACCAGTTAGAGGTGTATAAGAACATATGAGCTAGAATCCGCAAGCAGCAAGAGCAAAGGTCCAGGGGCCAGAGAGGGTGAAAGGTCATTCATTGAAGATGGGAGACGAAGCCATGGTGGCTACAGTGAGTGAACAGGGGTGAAAAGTGGGACAAATTCAAGTCAAGAAAGCGGGCAGAGGCAGATCCCACAGTGTCTCATAGGCTGTGGTTTAAATTTTGAGTCTTGTGCTTAAAATAATAGGTGTTTTGAGATTTTCAGGGAAAGGAGCAACCTGGCTTGATGCAGTGTGAGGACTGGATTGTAGGGGTGGCTGGAAGAGGGACACCAGCTGTGGGTACTTCCTGTGCTTTCCATTGCTGAATCAGAACCACCGATTAGACGACTTTGAGGTATGCACGGATTGCTGGATCTCTGACTGAGTATTCATTCCTGTGTCCTGCCCTCATTCACCAGGTTTGACTATGAGGGGCTGGAGCCCAAAGCAACATACTATATCATGAGGGACCTGGAGGCCCTGGTCACGGACAAGTCCTTCATTGGCCAGCAGTTTGCTGTGGGGAGTCATATCTACAGCGTTGCAAAGACAGATAGCTTCGAGTATGTGGACCCTGTGGATGGGACCGTGACCAAGAAACAGGTATGTACGTGCTGGGGAATTACCAAAACAGGCTGTGAGGCAGAGCAGTGGCCCAAATGTCTCAAAACTGGAGAAGTCTTTAGGGATGGTCTGTTCTGAGCTCTTTTAATCAGGAGAACTCTGCATCCAGGAAATTACTTCACTTACTAGTGGCCGAGGTTGGATTTGAACATGCACCCTCTCTGTCCAGTATTTTTGCTACTTGGTAACTGATGAGCCAGCACATCATACAGGTATGGACTCAACATTTTCTTCTCAAACATTTGCAGTCTGCAGCTCCTTTTACGTGGTGGTGACAGACTCAAAGAAGCTTCTAAGAACAGAAGATCCCTGTCCTTGGGATACCCAGGGGCAGATGTTCCCCTTTCTATTATCTTTTGTCCTGGAGAGATTACAGGAGCTTAACCAACAGAGTTTGGTACCCCGACTAGGGAAGAAACATCGGGAAGTTTGCCCCAAAAAGCCAAAAGGAAGATTTATGGTTGAGAATGGTTATTATACATAAATGACAAAACCAGCTATAATATCTGTGTAGCCTCATCTTTGTGAGTTGTGCAAGAAAATTTGGTCACTAGTATGATTATTTGTCTTCTCATTTTTGTCTATTTGATATGATAAATACTGACCATCTGGACACAATTATAAGTATTAACACTTCCAAGTCTAAAGAATACATCCCGGATAATTTTCAATTAATTTCAATCCCCAAATCCTAAATTCTTATCTTTTTATATAGTCTTTCTCAGGACAGACAATAAGTTAGAAGCTTCAGGTCTTTGGGGACTAGATATCATTTAGTAACTTCTATTTTAACTAACACTTTCTAAATCCTCCTTGTCATAGGCTCCCCTGACTTGCAGGTTTCCCTCATCCCAGGCCTTTCCCTTCCCTCTGTACTCTACCTGTTCTGCTTATAGTAGTGTCTCATTTCCAGCAAAATATGCCTTTCGTTCTAGAAACGCTTCTATGACCCAACAAACTGATTACAGCATAACTTTGGAAAGGTGAAAGAAACAGAAAATAGGGAGGGATGTAGCTAGGAGACTCCAGATCTGGTTCTGCCACTCACTGTGACTTTGGAAAAGTTGCCGCGTTTCTTTGGGCCATAGTTTCTTCCTTATCTGTAGAAGACTTATGTAACAGAGTTGTTTTAGAAATAGATTGAAATACACAAAAGTGCATAGGTATTCAGATGGGAAGTACACAATACATTTTTGCTTTTTCTCTACTAAATTTTATGATGTTTTAATACATTTTAATAAATTAAAACATTTTTTATTTAGAATATTTTATTTAGAATATTTACAAGGCATAGTGATTATGTTTATCATGGAGAGCTGGTCACAGTACATTTCTGTAGTTGGGTTTGGTTTCATTCCCTTGTAGACTGGACTGAATTTGCCCTGAAATAAATAACTCCAGCGAGTCAGTTTTTGGAGACAGAAGGTCAGGAGCTCGGCTGGCATCTTTGAGTCCTGTGCTTCGGATATATACTTTTGAATTTTGTACAATACTCCCATTTGCATTTTACTTAAGATTCTCTGGACAGACTTTTCCCAAATCTGGAGCTCATTTTGTCCTTGTTACTGTAGGATTAAAAAAAGATAAAATATGTATTTTCTAACGTCTCCTTGGGAGGTTTTTGTTTCCTTTTGAGAAAGGCTTGGAAAGCATTCATTGGAGGATTGCTCTAGTCAACGCTAGGTTCTGGACTTTATCTACTCATGGGAAGCTTGTCTGTTGACCTTGTTTTTCTTACTATTTAGTCCTGTATTATTTGATCTTATTTCTTCTTCAGTGCCGCTCAGCATGCAGGTACTTTTTCTTGGATCTTCATTAACTAGTCACATCAGTCTAATGCCTCAACTGGAGCTCAGATTCTGACATCACTTTATTCTGTCTCCCTTGTCCTTCTTCAGTCCTGGATATTGACTTCCATTTGGCTCTGGAATTTGTTGATAAAAAGCTCTTTTGTTTTTGTTTTTTTGCCTTTCCACTTTCTTGCACCTGAGTTCAGATGTGGTAAAAATAGCTAAGTATTACCAGGACCTTGCTCTTGAGTATTTTTGTAGTGAAGGAGGAAGAAAGATAGTTCATTTTCTCAGATTTCAGAACTCTAATGACATCTTTATTGGGTGGTGATTCTGAGTCACACTAAAGCTTCTCGGTAGGTCTGGGGATGGTTCTGTGAATGTTAAGTCTCAGCAGCATCTCTATCTTTTGCTATAGTTGGTTGGTGGGGAGAGAAAGTCTGTATTATTGGCCTATGTCACAGTCTTAGGTGTCAGTATATATCCACTCTTTAAATCCCAGGGATAGTTGAGTTTGGGGCATGCTACAGGTAAGACTGTGCAAAACAAACATAGTTTTTGAACTACAGACACCTAAAAGATATATTTGAATTTTTTACGAGGATAATTTTAAAACAGTAATAAATTATCTGGTGTATTCATTAATTATTTATTGAAAGCCTACCAAATACATAAATTTAGTTCATGATATGCTTTTTAATATATATTAGCCTCACTGAGATAATTTACATACTATATAATTTACCCATTTTTAAAGTATATACTTCATGGTTTATTTTATCTACAGAGTTGTGCAGTCATCACCATAATCAATTTTGTAGCATTTTCATTACCCTCAAAAGATACCTTATACTCATTAGCTATCATCTCCCTTCAAACGCCTCTCTAAATTCCATTCTCTGAAACCACTGACCCACCTTTTCTATGGATTTGCCTATTCTGGACATGTCCTGTAAATGGAATCCTAATATGCGGTCCTTTGTAACTAACTAACTTCTCTCACTTAGTGTAGTGTTTGCACAGGTCATCCGTGCTGTGCCATAATCAGTCCTTCATTCTTTCTGTTGCTAAATAATATTTCCTGTGTGGGAATTTTGTAATCCACTTATCAGGTATTAAAAATTTAGTTTATTTCCACTTTTGATTATTATGATTAATGCTGGTGGATATTCATATTCACATTGTTTGCAGACATAATTTAGTAGTTCTCTTGGGTATATACCTAGGAGTAGAATTTCTGGGTTATATAGCTCCCTGTTTTAAACCTTAGAGGAATGCCACATGGTTTTCGAAAGTAGTCCCATCACTTTATGTTTCTACTAGCCAAGTGTAAGTGCTCCAGTTCCTCCATATTTTTGCTAACCCTTAGTATTACGTCTTTTTTATTTAAAAATATTATTTTAAAATTAAAAAATTAATCTTTCTATAGAAAAACAGAAGTAGCCCTCTCTGTTAGCAAAACCCAAAGGAAACTTAATGGGACAAAAGTTATGTTTGCTGTGGGAGGATGATTGCTAAGGTCCTCTCGGTATTCTACCGCATAGAAATCAAACTGTCGCAGGTCTGCAGGCTGATCTCGTTATTCTCTAGATTTGTGACTCTGGGCATGTGACTTAGCTTCTCAGAACCTCAGCCTGAGTCAGGACAGAGGGTAATGGAAAAGGATTGAAAAGAAAAGTACGATGAAGTCCCAAGTACTGTGCTGGCACATAATCCATACTCTAGAAGTATCAGTTCCTTTTCCCTTTTCCGAATTCTTAACTTGACTGAGTATTGATTTGGAGGATCAGTCGATCTCAACCTCTCCTCCTCCTTTTTTTTCTGTCTGTATCTTTGTGTCTCTGTTGCTCTGTGTCTCTCCTTTTCTCTCTCTCTCTGTTTCTGTGTCTCTCTTTCTCTCTCACCCCCGCATCCACATGCACACATCCACACATTTTTGAAAATCATCTTCAGTATGCCATACTATAGCAAATACTCCCCCAAGGGGCTGGGGATTTAGCTCAGTGGCATAAGCACCTGCCTTGCAAGCAGGCGGTCATGAGTTCAATCCCCAGTACAGGTAAAAAAAAAATACTCCCCCAAATCTTCCATTTATTCTGTTCTTAAATATTTTGTTTCAAGTATGCTTAAAATATTCTACAATGAAATTTAAGGTTCAAATTAATGATCTCAAGGTACTGGGAAGTTCTCAGTTATCTCTGTTTTGTTTAAATTCTACTTACTAAGAAAAAAAGTATGATGACAGGAATTTCAGCAATGATTTTTAAGCAAAAGTTTTTCTATTCCTGTTTTATCAGAAATTATCTCTAAGCACATTGTTTGGTTTCAGAGCATCCCTTGCCTGTTGGTGTTGTAGCCCTGTGTGAGCGTTCAGGTTCAGAGAAAGGAAGTCTTAAGTTTTTTCTCAATTCTGCCACTTCCTTGCTGGGTTATCTCAGGCAAGATATTCTATGTCCCTGTGCCATCTGCTTCTTATCTAAGAAAATAGGAATAATAATTGGGGCTGTCTCACAAACCCTTGGGATAATTAAATGAGATAGTTTACATTCCTGGCATTTAACAAATGTCAGTAAATGACTGGTGAAAATTAGTGTCTGTTAAAAGAGGGCCTTTGGGAAAGACAGCTCCTGGCATATAATGAGCAGCCTATAATAAAAAGGAGAGTGTGTAGCTTTGCAGATTGTCTTGTGAGGATACGAGAAAACTTCGTTAGTTTCTGAGTCATCTATGAATTAAGTCAAATCCCCATTTCTCTCCCTGCCTGAAGCTAACCCACATACTCTGAATCAGAAAAGGTGTTTAAAGGCAGCATAGTCTCCTTTCTGTCCCTAATTTGAGTTCAGAGTGAGAAAACAGGTCATGGACAAAAAGCTGTCTCTCATACATCTCTAGAAATAAAGTAGAAATAGTTCTTCAACCACATTGAAATTAAAGTCTTGTTTGATAATAAGCCTCCACTGTGGAAATGCTCAGTGAAGTCTATCCTGCCTGAGAGAGTCCCTGTAAACCTTTCAAGGAGTGAGAAGGGAACCCTCAGTCCTGGGCCCCTGATGTGAGTCCCTAGGGGCCTGTCCTGCCATCCTATGGCTCATCAGGTCTCATGGGACCTATATGGCTGCTGCCAGTTATCTAATGTGTTTGTGACCTTGGGTGCCGAGGGAGGAGTGGATATGTGCATTAAACAGGGCT